AAAGACATAATTACATCAACTTTTACCACTTAACAACATTTCATTAAAGGCATCCATAAACTGATAATAACTATTTTTATCATTAGATACAAGGGTACTTACACTGAATTTGCTTGATGTTTCAACATCTGCCATCAAAGAAAAGTTTGCTTCTTCATTTGTATTTAACTTGATTTACTGGAAGTACTTGAGACAATTGTCTTCCCAAGCAATGTATGCCTTTTTCTTCTTGTCATTCTTGGATTCCTTTCTCTCTTATAGCTTTTGCTTCATTTTAAACACTGCATAGTCTAGCTTAATATACCCAGTCTTTCCACACTCATAACATATATGAATGTTTCCCTGTTCCCATTTCTTAAATGGTTTGGTAGAAGATTTGTTAGTAGATTTATTCTTATATTTAAGAAAATTAGAAAATCTTTTTATCAACAAATTCAAGTTTTCACTATCAAAGTCTTCATTTTCCTGCATAAATTCAATCTTCTTTGTAGCAGTCTTTAATGCAACGGTGTGTCTTCTTTCACTTTCTTCTTCTTCTTCTTCTTTGATTCTTTCGAATTCTAACTCATGTTCCCTTAGTTTTCCAAATAGTGTGGTCATATTCATTGTTGTAAGATCTCTAAATTCTGAAATAGCAGTCACTTTAGGTTGTCAAGTTCTTCCTAAACTCTTTAGAATCTTGGTGTTCAGTTCTTCTTTGTCAAAAACCTTTCCAAGAGTCATAAAATGATTCACAATATGAGTAAACCTTTTTTGGACATCATATACATTCTTTCTAGTCTTCATTCTGAACATTTCATATTCTTGAATAAGAGTATTCTTTCTTGCCCTCTATACTTATCTAATTCCTTCATTAGTAACTTCAAGAACACACCACATTTCTTTAATTTGTTTCACAAATTAAGATTTTATAGAATTCATCAAGTGTTAATACAGAATAAATAATATTCCTAGATCTAACATCATAGTAGACTCTTTTATTTTCATTAAGAATCCATTCATTAAAATTTTTCATTATTGTTTCACCATCTTTGACCTTAGTTGGTTGAAAATTATAATTTACAACAGTATCTCATACACCATTGTCAACAAATTCAAGAAAAATATTCATCCTTATTTTTCAAAATAGCTAATTCTCTCCACTAAATAAAGGAAGTTTGTTTATAGATGCTCCTTCAAAACAAGTTTGAGAAATGTTAACCACTCTTTTTTGATCAAAATCGATTATCTTTTGATAACCCAACTTTGAGGTCAATTGTTGAAAAGAATTAGAATAACTTAACATAACCTAAGAGGGGGTGAATTGTGTTTTAAAGAATTTCTTTAAACCCAAAAACTATATGCAGATCTTGAAAAAGCAAATCTTTTAACAAGATCTAACCAAACAAACATTGAAAATGTTATCCTTACAATTTTCAAGCAATCTTGATGATGCTTTCCTTATAATCATCAATGTCCAAACAAGAGTTACAAAAGGAACAAAATCACCTGGAATTGAATTGTACAATACACATATTCCTATCATCAAAATGACTTAATCTTTGAATATGATTCTCACATAAATGTTTCACAACTTTGGTAGTTCTTTCTATGTCCACATCAACTCTCTTGTTTGAATACTAATTGTATTTCAAAAGTCTATTTAATTGACAAAAGTTTTCTTCAATTTAAAGGGCTAAAACAGTTTCAATTGATTTAGATAATTAATTAGAAAAAACATCAATCTATTATTTTGGTGCGGTATAAAAATATAACTATATAATTGATTAAGTATGAATATAATCAATTATCAACTTTTAATCTTGAATTTAATCAATTATCATTTATATGAGAACTTCAAAATTGATTTAAACATTTGACTTTACAATTTCTAAAATCAAAGATATTAAATTGCTAATAAAAAAATATTTATTTAAATTTTTATATATCTTTTTGTATTTATTATAATTTTCAATAATATAAAAGAGAGTTATATAAAAAGGAAAATTTTCAATAAATATATACTATTTTATGTCATTTTATAATTTTTTAAATATTAACTGTATTAAAAAATAAAGAATAATGTATTTATAATTATATTTATATTTTTTAAAATCATGAAATTGTATTCAGTTTTAGATGAATTTAGGGGAAAAAAATTGTCTAAAAGCAGAAGTTCTATGTAGATTTAAATACAGAGTGAAATACAAATAACTTGCTTTTGTAAATTAAAAAAAGATGTTAAATAAAAAATAAATTACTGATTGCACATTAACGGTGTGAAAGAGGTGACATATGATAGCATCCATATGAGTTAAAATTTGAACATCAGAGGAGTGAAGGCGTGGACAGGTCCTCCATTATTGCATTCTGACATGGTAGAAAATCAGGCATGCAAGAGCAAGCTCGCAGATGCATTGATCTTCAAAACACATCCCGTCTTAAAACAACACATAAATGGAACACTTTAATCGCGTTTCATTCTTACCTTTTATTTGAAAAAATGGAATCCAATATTGTAAGTTAAAATTAAATATTATTTATTATTATTTTTTAATGTATTAACCTAAATTACACCATAAGTATAAATGATTCACATTTTGACATTAATATAATTTCATAATTATTATCTCTTAATTAAATTTTTTATTTATTATTTATAAGAGTTAAAAATATATCATACATATAAAATTCAAAAGTTAAATGAACAAGGTAATTTAAAATATAATTTTTTTTATAAGAAAACATATATACATCAACATTATTTAAAAAAAATATAAAATATAAAATTTTATCTCTTTTTTATCTATTATCGTTTGAGACTTAATTTCTGCATCATTTACTCTCTCTCCGTAACGTTTAATGTAACATACATAATATAGAACATAATACAAATTAAACATGTATATCACACGAATTCAAATAATAAAGAAATTATATCATGCTCATACATGACATTCACGTCACAAATATTATATAACTTTCAAAAACTAAATATTAAATTAAATTAAATAATTTTTTACATAAATAATTTTTTATATTAAGTTAAGTTATTAGACCTCTTTCAACTTTTACATTTCATGTATGTGAAAATTAGGATATCACCACTGGGCAAAGAAAACTTTTAATGAGAATCATTTTGAATTTTTAGTTGAAAAATGGCATCCATGTCGCAAGGGAATTAACTTTGTGTCTAATTACTATTAGACGATATATTAATGTATAATTTATTTTAGTATTTTTTTTATTATCTACTATTACTATTCTAAAATTTACAAACTAATTATTTATAATATTTTTATTAGACTTTCTTCTATATTTATTTAAAATTAAATTTATTTATTATTCTTTGTAATTGTATTGAGCTAAATTATGAAACCTATATAAAGGATTGCAGTTTGAGATTTGATATACTTTAATAACATATTTTTTGTTACAAGTGTATCACTTGATATAGTCATAGTCATAATGTAAATCTTTGACAAATATATTAGCCAATTACTCTTCAAACTATTATGATACATCTATTTTTATGTATAATAAAATAATTTTTCACAGTATAACTATAATAGAAATCGATAGTATTATAATACAGTGGGTTAGAAAAATAATTTTTCATTTATCTTATATAATATTCAATAAGCCTTTAATACATAATAATTTTTACATTATAAGATTATACTACAAAAATATTAAAAGAGTTATGTATAAAAAAGAATTTCTCCGTAGGATATAATACTACATAGATATAATATTCTCTTTTGTAAGATTATTTATTTATTTATTTATGTCTAATCAACACGTTATCATGTCAATCAACTCATAAAATAAAAAATAAAAATATAATTCACCTATTAAAAATATAATATTTTTATTTTTATTATTTATTATTTTTTTAGAATATAATAATTAAAAAAATTATTATTTTAAATGATTTTCATAAAAATAATATTAAATAAGAAGAATAAGTTTTTAATAATAATTTTTTTCTAGACTATTATATATCTACTATAAACATTATTTCCAGTATAAAATAGTGATAGGTGATAATATATAATTGATTCACTTAAATCGTTTTTTTTCCTTCAACTAGTTCATTTTCGCTTAATTGTATGGAGAAAAAAAAAAGTGAGACCCACATTTTATATTATAGGAATTTTTACTATTTTTTATTTTGTCACTCTCCCTTTCTAACTTTTTTTTTTCTTCACTCTTGCTAGTTCTTCTCTCCTTGATCATCGTTACGAAACATGACATTATGATGTAAGTTGTGTTTTTCTTTTTCTTCATGTTAATTATTTCTACATAGTCCTATGGAAGTTCATTTTTTATTGTTATTTTTGCATTTATTCTATCCATCAAGTGCTTATAGTGCATTTTCCATGTATATATAATTTTTTATGTTTGTATTTTTATGTTCAAATTAACACTTATACTAACAAATGCATAATTTATAAGATAATGATTTGTACACATCCTATTTCACCCAAACATTAACCCACAAAAAAGAGACAAACTAGCCAGGGGCCACCAAGACGTGGAAGACGCAGTAGCATTAAATGATAAAATGTTCAGACTTAAGTGTACATTAGCATTTCTCTTCTCACATGCCTTGGTTTTCCATGTCATTGTTTAAAATATCGCATTCGCTCATTCATTTCACCCTTAACCTTTATAATGATAAACTTGACAACAAATACCTTCATTTGAGAGTCAAAATCCTTATCCTGGCCTTAAGAACCCCAAATGACGGTCATATATATCTTCCACTAAAATGAATTAGGGGGTCTGCGTGATTAGTACTAAAACATCAATACACGTCAAAGATGTAAACCATCCACATTTTCACATATATTCTCTGAATTATGTCAAAGTATTAGAAACAAAATTCAGTACACATACTAGAAACTGTAGGTTTCTATTCTCAACCACAATCACAAAAGGAGAGGAAGTAGATAATTTAAATCAGAAAATTAAGCACTCTGATCCCATTGAAATTCAGTTTCTTTCTTAATCAGGAATCAGTTCTTTCTTCCTTCACTTAAGATGATATGGTAGCCATGCCTGTAACATCATCCAAGTAAAATATTAGCAGGTCTGGCTAAATGGTGAAGAGAGGGGGCACAGTTGGTAATCAGGAAAAATTAGAGTGCAAGAGAATACGTTGATTTGAAAGGAGCACTAGTGGCGCCAACAGGTGTGCTGAAGGCAACATCCTGAAATGGCCCAGCCATCTTTCCTCGGGGAAACCATCCAAGGTCTCCCCCCTTCTTTCCCGAAGGACATTCAGAATACTCTTGAGCTACCTGTGAAATAAGTGAAATATTATTGATAGTAATTGGCCAAAATATTTGCTGGAGATTAAATTTCTTATGAACAGATTTTTATTTATACTTTTCCATGTCCTGACATTTTCATCAAACTGACATCATTACTGACAGCAGATTGTGGGGGGCAGAAAACAATTCTGTTATTTAACTCAGCTTCCTTATGAAATAAAAATCCAAATAAGGATTTAAAGTATGAACCAAGCATAAAAATCATTACATGATCTCCAAAAGAAAATTACCTTTGCAAACTCAGCTGGTGGTACCTTATCTCCGTTGCTGAGCCAACCATCCTGCAGCTTCTTGTAGGCTTCATTGATCTTACCTTGTTTCTCACATAAGATATGCCTAGCTGAACAAAATAAAAAGACAAAAATGATGTCATTGTAAAAAAACCATGAAAATAACTAATCATGAATACAATGGTAACCACGGATGGACATTTTTCTACCTTTAACGTAAGTGCAAGTACCAAGCCCATCTCCACCTTTCCCACCTTTTCCTTTTCCCTTAGAAGCATTCTCATCACTTCCACTAGCAGCCTGCTTCCCCTTCCCCTTCCCTCCTGATTCTTTCGGCTTTGAGTCTTTCCCCATGTTTAACACAACTTAATAATTTCCACTGAATAAGCAGGGAAAACATTTGTATTGCAAGTGTATACCAGTAAGAGTCAAATAATCAAGGGATACTAACTATAAACAGATTAACACAAGGATAATGCAAGCAAATAAAGTGCAGTAATGCACAAAACTCTAGAAACTACAACAGAAATACAGAATGCAGTATATGCTTTTTTGGTTTTCCTTTTGGAGATAAAAATAAATAAAATATTAAAAAGAGGGCATAAAACATTCCAACAATAGCATCCACAAAAGAAGAAATGACACAAAAGAACAGAAAAATGGCTCATAAAAACAAACAACCACCCTCAGCCTCCCAATTAAAAAGATGAAAGAAGAGAATTCATCCACTCCACCCAACTTTGAACTCCTAGAAAACAAAATCTATCTGACAGAGATGTTAAGGTGGAGGATTCAGAATAAAAACACTGGAATTGACCTGTACCTGTCCATAATGACCATCACAAAACCAAACAAGAGGAGCTCATAGCCACAAAACTTTCAGTGTTTTTTCTAATATACAAAAATCAATTCAAAGGCTCAAGACAAACCCATTGCTCCTAACAACAGGCTTAAAAGAAAGGAATCTGACTATGCGTCTGTACATACATATATATACCAAACTACCATACACTGGCAACACATTAAGGCTGTAAGAAGCAAAAACAGCAATCAATCCGTCTAAACTCCAAAATTCACAGCATCTCAATTTCAGTTAAAATCGTTGAACAAAGGTTGGCTAAGGCTCTCGAGACTTTTTGTACAAGGAAAGAGAAAGACACAGACACAATTAAAGTTACAGCCAAAACAAACAAAAGGGTTGATGTGAATGAAATAATTAATTAATAAGTATAGAAGAACAAAATACAAAATCCGAACCAACCATGAGCATAATCCATGTGATTAAATCAAGGTAAATATGCAAATGGAAATTGAAATCGATGTTGGGTTTCGTAGAAGTGTTACAGCACAGATGTGGAGAAGCCCACAACATAAGCAATAGAAAAATATGCACAAATCAAAAGAAAGTACTGAATTGGAACAAACAGGTATAAAAATTGGAACTTTTCAGCTCTAAGAATAAAAGAATGAAAAATACCCAAGTCGGAGACTGAGAAGTTGTGAAGGTCGACGAAGATGATGACGAGTCACCACTGCCGCATTGGAGAAATAAGAATCTCACTTTGTTTCGCTTTTTTCGTATCTACGCTATTCAATTGCATATATTGGGCCAGACCCAGGTTCAAAAAACACGTTCATGTTTTGCGTTACTTTTTATAATTTCCAGTAAATTGCTTTCAGCACCTTCCTAATTTGATTATGCACCTCTTAGTTCCACTAAAATGGTGAACTATTTTTAAAACTTTTTATACTTTTCAAAAAAATATGATAATATATAAAAAACCTTCTAGATTATACATTATGAAAAAAATCTACTTTTATAATATCTAATTTTATTTTTAACTCTACAGAATTAATTATTTCGGATTATGCCTTTTGCTTTTAAATTTTAGGTTGAAATTCCTTAATGTTTCTAATAATAGAACAAACTAGAGTGTTTATAAGGAATTTATTTAGATAAAATTTGGAAATATAATTTAAAAAATAATTTTACCTGTTCACAAGTAAACGATCTTATATTCTTTTTAATTACTAACAATTTAAAATACATTTAAATGTTACTTAAAAAGTGGAAAAGGATAAACATTTTATATTAACATATACGTAGAAATTAATTAATTATTTCATAATCATAGGCATAAACATGGAATCAACACATTTATTTTATTTTTTTCACAAACCTTTTATATTTTTCTTATTATTTGAATTCAATAAACAAATATTTAAACAACAATATCAATGGAAAAAAAGAGAGGATTATATACATTTAAAAACAAGTTTAAATGTAAAGAGCATAAAAATTTAAATGCAGAAATCTTAATTTAATATTTCAAAGGACAAATTGATGAAGGAATAAAGAGGAGTTCAAAAGTAATTACAAATGGAAAGTCATAAACGTAATTTGAAAGTAAATAAAGTAAAAAAAAATAGTCACATAGGAGACGGCCAGGTACAATGATTTCATTAACCACCAGAATCGGAGCTTACAGAAATTGGAGTACATGCAAGTATTCTCACACTAAATTTCTACAAAGGAGATTAAGTAAACAATCTCTTAATCTTTATAATATTATCACCAACAATCCAATTGAATTTGAATATTTTTCTTGAAATAATAAACCATTTGTGCATGATTACGCCCGCGCGAACAAATTCATGAAATGATAAAATCTAATGGTCTTTCATTCATCATCGTACTATAATTTAAAAATATCTTGAAATGAGTGGCAAAAAGATGTTAGAAAAATAAATAAATAAATGTGACTCATATGATTGGTAATAAAAGAAGTTTTAAAATTTATGGGATGTTGGTAATTAATTTAGTAACAATGAGTTATCTAACTCAATAAATAATACGAAAAATTATTTCGTAGATTATTAATGTTACTTATTATTAATCATTAGAAAGAGAAAATAAGAAAGAAAATCAAGCAGATAAATTGAGAAAATAAGATTAAAGAGTTTATTTTCATTGAATCTCTCATAAAACAAAATAAGTGCCTCGTTAATTATAATTTATGTGAGAAACTTAAATTTTAAAATTCCTATAATGTCTATTAATTTTCTAGTTTTTAAAAATATATAAAAGCTAAAACTTACAAGAGATGATTCTATCAAGCAATTCTTGTAGATATGAACCTTGTTAAAAACTTCAATTCTAATACCAAGAATATTACTCAATATAGTGTTATTCATGATAATATCCACTCTCTCAAATCTTGAATAAACCACACAATGTCTCAAATTTACATTAAATAGAAAAACTCATTAAATTTGGATAAAATGACTTTTTATTTCAATTGAAGGATTCAAACTTTGATATGCAACAACTCTTAAAAAGTGAATCCTTTATTCTTGTAAAAAGTCAAGCTCTAAATATACTTGTAAGAGATGGTTGTTTTATCCTTCCAAAAGTTTCATGAATTCATCTTGCTTTATGGATCACACAAATGTAACTTCAACATTGATAATTAAACTTACAACTTTTCTTTCCCTTTTATTTTATTCATAATAATTATCTTGACTCTTCTAGGATTAGAAGTAGACATTTTGTGTGAAGAAAATTTTTTTAAGCCTCATGAATTCGTAATTATAATGATTAACTCTCACGATGGTGAAAGAAAAAAAATGAATTTAAAAAGTGAGAAAATATGAAAAAAAAAGAGAGAATATAAAATATTTTGTGAACTTTTTTATTCAATACATTTATTTTAATATTTATGAGGAAAAATAAGTAGACTCTAAATTACATATAATATTTTGTTTATATCATGAAATTTAAATATCTAAAAATATTTGAGATTATCAAAATTATAAATATATAAAAATTTGAGGTTAAGATCCTCCATTGGAACCAAGGACAATAGAATAACTTCATGAGAGCTAATATAGGATTTGTATGATAAACCATGTTTATATTGAGATAAGATGATAATGAACCATTAAAACCCATTAGTTTTAGATAGATAAGATGGTTGGTAGTTAATTTTGAGGAAACTCACAAGATAATTGTTATAAAGACACTCCTGTACAAAAAGAATAAGCATATCAAATGCATTTATTCTTGTGAAGTCTACTGAATAGATGAATTGATAAATCATGTAATATATAATGATTTTGCTAAATTCTAAAGCTTATTAAACATACACATGTTTCTAATGTGAAGCTTGTTTACAAATACTTAATGTTTAACTCACTTTCTATTTTGAATTAATTTAGAAACTTTTGTAAAGGTTTTGAATGCATTACTCCGAGTATTAATTTCCACCCCTTATTCTAGATAGTCCAAAAACATCATTATGAAACAAAATGGTTTCATTTAAAAGAGATTTTTTAGTTTATTTTCCTTTTTGAGAAATATCATTAATTTTATCTTTTTCAAATGAGTTTAGGTATACTAATAACTAGCTTTTTTGAAATGAGTTTACTTAAAAAGGGGCATAGGAATGTGTTTAGCTCTTTTATTGCAAAGTCATGATCGCCTTCTTTGGATATCAAACACAAAATGGAACTAGAAGATGCATGTCCTAAGTCTACTATGTATATAATTTGAATCTTCTTTTTTACTAATTCAATTTTATGATTATGTTTAGCACAAATCAAATAATAATTCATCTCAAAAGTTATTTCCAACCATTTATAACAAAGTTTACTTATGCTGAAGAGCATGTGCTTTAATCCATCAACCAACAATACATTCTCTATCATTATTGATGAAAGACTTCTAACATTGTCAATATCAAGTATCATTGCTATGTTGGTATCAACATAGGGTAACATCCATTATTTTTTTAATGAGATATTAATGAACTTTTTTAGTTGTGTATGGAATATCCACTGTCTAGATACACATTGATTTCTTAGCTTTCAGACTATCCAACAACAACAAAAAGTAAAATAAGGTAACTAAACAATTTTGGTAGACTTACTTCTTCTTTAAGGACTTTCTAAATTTCTTTTATTCAATAGATTGTTTCATGATGAGTAAAAGTAATTTGTTTTTATATGTCTTACTTTCCGCATTCAAAGCAGGTGTATATAATAAACCCTTGTTAAAACTTCTTTGAAGCTCTCAAATGATAAGATGACTTGTTGTTCTTATTCCTCAAAAACTTGAAAATGTTTTACTAAAAAATTCAATTTTTGATTCCTTGAATTTTGATACTCTTTATCAACCTTATTTAAATCTTGCCTCGTAACCTTAAAATCTATATTTTTTTTCTTTTGAATTTATTTTATTGTATTTAACCTTCATAACTCTAACCCATGTTCTCTCCATTGATCAAATAATGTAGTTTTCATGGAAGTGAAATCTCTTAATTTGAGATAGTAGTAACTTTAGATTGTCAATATCGTTACAAATCTTGATATTAAGTTATTTCTATCAAACTTTTTCCTTGGACTAACATATGATACAATGTGTATTAAATCTCTTTTACACATCATACTCAATCATGATTATTAAATTCACAAGTCAACTTGTTAACTTGGATATGTTTGTGAGTTAAGTAACTGGTCACAAGTGAACTTATGTGTAAACTTGTTTTTTAACAAATTGGTCTCTCTCTCTCTCTTTCTCTCCCTCCTCCACATGACACATCTCTTTGGTAAGCAAATAGGTCTTTATCCTATACATGGCGTGTCTCTTTCCTTCATGCAGCACGGTGTGATCATCTTCTATGTGGGCGTGAATACATGCAACTCATTTTAAATTTGTTTGGTTATGTTCTTCATTCCTTTTTTTCCTATTTGCTTTCTTTCTTACTTTTTATACATATTAAAGTTTAATTTTTGTCCTGTTTTAGTTTTTTTCTTTTAAGGAATTAGGGTTTTTAATTCTCCTTTTTTTTTTTAATCAGTTGCTAAAACTATAAAATTTTAGTAGTGTAGACTAATTTTTGTTATGTCAATATACCTAATTGTTAAAGTAAAAATGAAAAGAATAAAATAAATATTTAGTAGTTATGTAAATTAAATAGTTTGGTTAATAAAAAATTAAATATAATTATAACTAAAAGATATTTAAAAAATATTTATTTTTCGTATAAAATAAACTCTTATCATTCAAATTTACTAGTTAAATTTACAAAACTCTACTGAATTTATGTATATTCTCAAGTCTAATATCCTTTCTCGAAACATGATGTATCTATTTCTAAAATCAAAATATATTTTTTTACATTTAACTTCAATACACACAAAAAATACAATAGAATTAATATCGTATAAGAGTTAAATAAATTATATTTTTAGGTCTTACATCCATGTACATTTTCATTTATAATCCAAGAAATAAAATCTTTAGATATTTGAACTCTTTCAACATTTTGACAAGTATAAAAAGATCATTAGCTATTACATCCTTATCATCCTTCTTAATTGATTAAGAAATATTTTTATTATTAGCTATTACATCCTAATCATCCTTCTTAGTTTATTAAGAAATATTTTCATTCTAATCTAAAGAGGATAATTTTCACTATTATATCGATCAAAGCTCCTTTAAAAAAGTTGGACAATGTCCAACCATTTTGGATTAAGAACATTTTTTAATAACTATCAAACACAAATTGTGGTAGTCAAATACAAATAAAATTGCTGAACAATAACCAGGCATCGGATTTGAATTAATTCAAACAGTTCCCAGAAAACAAAATCAGAATTTTAAAAAACAGCTTTTGAATTACCTAACATTAGTTTTAGGATATAGATTTGATAGTTTAATATGCAAGAAAGATAAAGAAAAGATCATGAAAAAATATAATTGAAAAACCATGATAACAAATTTTAGAGTAGTTCGCTTCTTCTCGAATCTACGTCAACTTCAATTTGAATAACATGAATTATTTCACAATTCTTGAAAATTCAATACAACATTTACTTTACCACAAACATGCAACGTACCCAAAAAAAAATTTCTAATGTAGAAACCTATTACACCAACACACCAAACCTAGGCGTAGGAATCAATTTAACTAATAATAAAATAAGTTAGAAAGATATCACTTAAATGCGACTCATTTCTAAAACAAGAAAGTGCAAAAAGAAAACTTATGATGAACTTGTTGATGTAACATTTCGAACCATGTAACATTGTGCCTAGAAAAGTTCATTTCCTTCATGTAGAAACCAAACTGAAATTACTCAGTCAGAATCTGATAGTGGCAACTGGTAAGCATCTGATGGTTCGAAATCGGTCATAGAAGGGGGTGGTTTTTTATTTGACCGACTCCGGAACCGCTCTCTAGGATTTTGTTTCCTTTCATCCTGTGAAGACGTTTGTCAGAATTGAAAATATACAAGTAATTCCTACCGTTTGAAAAAATTGGAAGATATTCATATTAAGGAAAAAGTTACCTTGGAACTGGGTTGACTTGGTTGATTTGATTCAGATGGGTGATTGGAACTAGGTTGATTTGGTTCAGATGGCTGAACTTGTTGGCTCCTACGCAGCCAGATAGTACCGAAAGAAATTAATGCACCCAGAAGCAAAAACGGACCAAGTCTTGGATCCTCACGGTATACAGAAAGTCCACCAAGAATACTCTGCTGCAGATTTTTCAAAGGAATATTTTGTGCTGTTATGGACCAAATAGGTTCTGTGTCATCCGGGACAAGCTTAGGAGTTCGTAGTGTCTGCAACCAGGAAATGGTATTTTCTTAATTAGTAAACTACACGGAATTAATCTCATCAACAACTACCTTACATTTTAAAATGTTAACCTGGGCAATTGTGACAACATTTAGAAACACAAGTAAACAGAATTAAATACTTGAGTGAGGGCCCAGGTTATTAATTCAACGTTGAATGTGCGTCATACAATAAGGCTTACCTACAAATCCTATACAAAAGTTAATAAAACTTACAAAGAATGGTAACTCTCTGGAGTCACCGTCAGAAATAATGTTTGCAAGCCAGGCGGTTATCTGCAAATGAAAATAGCAATATCTTAAAAAGAAATGTCATTAGAATCTACGTCATTGTACATTATATGTTCTTACACCACTCAACATATTTCACAAGTAATATGATGATAATACATTATGTTACAAAAAAAAATGTAAAAACTATTAATGGCAGGCAATGCAAGCAACATACAAAGCACCATCTGTCTATGTGAAATTTTTTATTCCAAAATGGCAAACCTGTGAGACATCATGTTCTCCCTTGTACCCAGCGACAAACTGGCCTGCAAGATCAGAATCATTGATTAGATCTTGGAACAGTGATGATTTCCACTTCGTCTTTTCTTCTGTTCTCAAATCAACAGCACTACTATTCCTCAGGTAACGAATGACAAATAACCGAGGAATATCAGTCACACTCCGTCGTTGTCCACAAGTGTGATCGCTCCCCGCTTGACCAAGGTAAAATTGGCAGTAATCCTACACAATCAATTCAGTTAAATAGAAAAGATAATGACAAAGTACTTTCCATATAAAATAAAGCCAAAAAAAATCTAAATCAACAACTCACTTAAACATGAGAGGAGATTATAGGAATTAGGGGCTGTTTAGTTTGAAAAATGTTTTTTTTTTTCATTTCCTATTTCTAGAGATAACTAAAAAGACATAAAAAACTTGTTTTCATTATGTTTCTCATTTCCAAATATTTGTATATAAAACTCTGAAAAAAATTATCTGAATTACACTATTTATTATACAAATACTTGAAAATAGAAATTAGATTGAAAATAAGGTTGCATTTACCAAATTTGTAATGAAAACTTCTCAACCAAATAAAGAAATATATGGTACAGTCCACGTTTAAAATAAACAATGGAGATTATTATATCTACTAGTACCCTAGTTATCATAGTTACATTAACATACAAAACATGTGTAATCAATTCATAATCATTGTCTAACACCCTCTTAATCTGAAGCATATAAATCATAAGCATCCATGTTTTTATATATGTAGCTTATTGGAGGATTTCTCAATTCTCATGATCAAAACATCTACCAATTGAACACTAAAACGAGTGAGACTAGTGAAAATGTCTGCAGATAAGTTCTCTTCAATGAATTTTGATGTATTTATGATTGACCCCAACAAACGAGCCTAGAATCAATGTCTATACCAAAAATAGTGAATTCGAGGTAGAGATGACAATTAAATCCATACATGTGAGGATCGATCTGTCCCGTCCCAAGTTTGACGGAAAAAAAATATGAATTGACCGAAGTCGAGGATGGGTTCGAATTTTCCCTACTTTAAAAAGTCGGAAGCAGAATGCAATCCTCACCCCGGTCCCGGCTCACCCCGACTTTATATTTAAATTTAAATTTTAAAATATTAATATTTTAAAAGTATTTTCATTTTTTTTTCCATTACATATAAGGTCTTTTTTTATATTTTATCATTTTTACTTTTTTTCTACCCACTTTTTAATTTTTTTGTCTTTTTTAATCTTTTATATCAATTAATTCATTACATTATTCTCTTTCTCTTACCTTTCATTTTTTTCACATTTCCTTAATCTCTCCTATCAATTTGTTTTTTTCAATCTTTTCAATTAATTTGATGAACACAAAGTTAATTTTTCTTATTCTTTATCTTTTTCTAAATATTTTACATAAATATTAATAGTAACTAATATTATTTTATTTATAATTTATCTTTATTAGATTTTATTATGTCATATTTTTTGGAATTTATTATTCTTATTTTTCATATATCAAATTTTATCTTAATAAATAATTGTATTTTAAAAGATTAAAAATAATTGATAATTTAAACTTTTATTACTTTGAACTAATAAAATAAGAATTAACTTATAAAACATTTTCTTATAAACTATATATTTCATATTTTTAAATGACAACTTAAAAAAGAAATAACTTATATATATATATATATATATATATATATATATATAATCAAATGTTTGAATACAATACTATAATAATAATGTTATAAGTATTCAAATATTTAAATACAGTATTATAATAATAATAATAATAATAATAATGTTATAAATATTTTACGTCTGTATAAAGACAAAATAGTTAAATATTTCTTTTATATACATATTTTAATATAAATATAATAAATTAAAATATATATTTATTAAATAATAAATATATATTTATTAAATAATTATTATAAATTATAAAATTATAAATATTTATTTATGTACAAAAAATATATAAAAATAGTGAAATTAATTTATTATAAATATAATTATTTTTAAAAAATAATGTAGACCAGGTATGGAGCGGGACTGGGAAACCGAAACCCAACAGAGACAGACATGAAGACTTAATTTCTAATCCCGATGGGGATTAAGAGCGGGAATGGTTAAAAATACTAGGCCGAGGATCACTGAGGCAATATGTAGGACAGCTTGATTGAGTGACAAACACATATCACTTGCATAACCTCCCAAAACCTAATTATTTGAAGCAACTATTTGAACCACATGAGTTCACATGTAAGTTGCAACCATGACATGACATTCTACTTTCTGCACTCAACCATGCAACATCATCTTGTTTCTTACTTTTCCAGAGTTATCACCAAAGCTATATTCTATAGAAGATTTCCTGTCAATAAGAGTTTGCTGGATTAGCATATAAATATATCACAACTCAATTATGACCTTCATATGCAAAACCTTTTCCTCAAACTCCTTAATAGATTTTGAAAGGAAAATTATCGCATCCCACATCCTTTACATAGTTAATCTAGTGAGATAGTGTGATAATTTAGTTCCCACCCAATCTTAGTACTTGTATCTGAAAGTGACCCCCCTAACATAGCAAAACTTTGACATTAGCATCCATAAGAATGCCGATGGACTTCGCAACCATCAAATTTGATTCCTATAAAATGCTTATTGCATACTTCCACCAAAAAACTTAAAATGCCATTCTTGGATTGTCCTTTAATCGCCAAGAAGTATCATAGTTTGATTGATCTTTTGTTTTAAACTAGTATAAAAATACTTTACCTGGGTAATCACTACCAATAATGTTGTCGGCAAACAAAACCATGTAAATACATCCTATGACTGACTGAATAATGAATACAAAACTGCCGAATCACATTGTTGAATCTACCAAACTGTGCCTAAGATTTTGTTTGGGATTAGGATTCCTTGAGCAACAAATCCATGAAATTTCTCCATATAAGCCTCTTATGTGAGATCACTGTGGACAAAAACATTCTTCAAGCCAACTTGGTAAAGTAACCGATGGAAAATTACAGCCATGGATAAGAATAAAATGACAAAGACGATTTCAGCTACCATAGAGCAAGTGTCGCAATAATCCAGGCCAACCACAAACAACTGTGTATATCCTTTAGCCATTAGATGAGCCTTTTCTCCAATCAACTTTATTGTCATGATGACAACACAAGGAAGGAAGACACTATCATATGAAGAATACAAAAAATGATAGCTCAACTGACTATGTCTGGGAACTAGTGAATAACTTGTTGAAAGAGAAGAATAGAGGATAGATTTAGAGAATACTGTGTCTCAGATACACAGTCGTGACTTTTTAAATTGTCTGAAATGATAAATACAATTGATTATAGGAGATTTTGTTCCTATAAATCATAACAGAATAAGTAAACAATAATCAAAATTAATTCTATCAACACAAAGAAAAGGTCAAGTTCAAAATGTTTTGTCCTTGCAGGAAGCACTGGATTGTGGGCCAAAGCAATAGTACTTTAACTCAACTTCACAAAAGAGTAATAGTGCCAGGCATGTGAGGCAGAACTGTAAAGAGAACCTATGCCTTTCCAAATGCCCCTATGTCCATAATGTCCAGTGAAAAGGGTAATACCAATAGCCCAAGTCACTGTAGGCTAGTGGACAAAACCATATATGTGCACGTATAATAGCACAAAAATACATTTTATATCTAACAAAACAAGTACATCATCCTAAAAAGATAAGTTCCACCTAAATGAATATGTAAAATTGGATATTCATTGTATTGTGGTAAATTCTGGATGGATAAGCATAATAAAGCATTCTAATGATTTAGCAGTAAAATTAGGTCATATGACAAGTTCAAATTGATGTATTATACAGCCATCATCTTGCAGATTAGACGCTGTCAGCGCAGCAATTTAGAATGATGTTTGCTTTGATGCCCAAAGGTCTTTGTCTTTGTCAAATGAAATGGCATTCTTAATTTTATTTTTTTTTATACGTTCTGTTAATTCATTCACTAATACCAATCATCAGCATTGTGAAATTTATTCTGACCAAAAAGAAGTATTTAGAATGACAAGCTAAAATGTAAATCAAACAAATGAAAGTAAAAGATTACCTTCTGCTTTTCACCATCAAGCCAAGCAAATGTCAATCGCCTTCTCTTAAATGCATCCACAGCTGGAGCTAAAGATTGATTTTCAGAAGCTGCATCCAGTTGGCTATGCTTGGACAAGGTTTCTTGGACCCTGCACATAGTCTATGGAACTGAATTACAAATTTGAAGCTAAACAAGTAAAAATAAAAAAAAAGTGTAAAATATAGGCATTTTCTTAAGATTATGGATGTGTCTTGAAAACTGGACTAGAACCCCAAGTCTCCTTTACTAGGAACTTATCAAAACCCAAAATATCAGCCATGATAACAGTGATTTGACTTTTGTACAGAACTCAAATAAGCATAATTCTCAACACAAATAACAAATTACACTAAAAAACAAGACTAAAAGTACATACTTCCCGCATTTTGTTCAGCTCCAGACTTGGCCTTCCAACCACAATAGCACAATACCATATTACTGTATCATAACCAGCCCGAGAATAGCCATGAGGATCACAGCCTAACTCCATTGATGTCACACTCCTTAGCTGTGAAAGTTCTGGAAGCGACAAAAGTTTACCATTCTATTAACAAAAGTTAATAATAATAATAATAATAATAACAATAATAATGCCTTGAATAGAATAACAATTGCATCATCTGGACAAAACAATTTATATAGACCATGAAAAACCACATTCAAACTCAAATTATAGTATACTATCATGCATCTATTATAAGATGAAAAGAATTTGCCAATATATTCAAGGTGCAGTATTTGTTGATATATGTAGATACCAACAGAAATCACTAGGTACGTCCTAGTCACAAGAAGTTGATAAGAACATGTCCCAAAGGCATATAGTATGCAATCAGACTAGCAGTTTTGGGTTAATATTGGGGTCCTTGCTACATGTGTTAAGGACAAAAATTAGTCAAAAGACATTGGCTACATAATTATGGACCTATTTTCTTTCATTTCTCTTCTCATGAACTAAATACTAAAATTTTAGAATGTACAGGAGGGAAGTAACAAATTCATTCTTCAAAAACGTTTGGTTTATTAGTAGAAGTTAGTTCTATCTATTTTAGGATTAGATCTGTCAACTGTAAGATCAGTTTAAGTAAGTGCACTACTCCCGTAGGTCAATTCTATTTTCACACCCCTTCACTCCATTCTACCATTTAAAAATTTGCTGGCTATATCACATCACAATTCCCAACCCACCTTTAAAAGTTATAGGTAGGTCATTTTTCATTTAGCAAAACTTGTAGTTATCAAGCAAGCAAATGGGAACAATGATTTTGCATCTACCTTGCTGTTTATTATTTTCCATCATTTTCAAAAAAATTGAATTGTTGACAGAACCTGCAATACACATGCATAGATAGTCAGTTCATTGCAAGAGCAAGAGTATATTCATATGGTTCTGAGGTCATATGACAAAGATGAAACAGACCATGGTGAACCACAGGCTTGACACCTGGGTCTTTAAGAAATACAATAGCTGGTGCTGATTCCACCCCAAATCTGAAATTTAAAAATAGATATAACAAAAAAAAAAAAAATCAGCATTTCAGTACTAGATCAGGCAATGAACCAAAAGGATGGTCAATATAACAATATTCATAGCCCCATCCTCTTCTGTATAGAAAATGTAATGCAGAATAATGTTTTCAGATTCAGATTTTCAAAAAATTGTCACTTACGCTCCCCACCAATAGGAAGCTTCCTCTTCTCGCCAGAGGATGAATGCAAATGAAGCAAAAGCCCAATAGTCTTTAGCTGTTTGTCGTATAAATGGAGCAGCACGCTCACCAGATGTTGAGAAAAAGAAGACTTTTACCTATAAACCATTGTGAACAAAAACTAAACCTTAATTAAAACAGATAATTCAAGTATAGATCTACTCAATCAGATGGCATCTAAACAAGATTAAGTGGGTGTTATGGAATATATTATTTCCAGGAAATAGTTGTTCTTTTTCCAGCATGTCTCTGATAAATATGACAAAAATTAACTACAAAATCTACAAAATAAATTGAACCTTTGTAGTTTAAATAATAACAAATGTCTCCTTTGTTCTTATACATAAGAACTAAAGCATTCCTCCTCCACTCGTCTAGAATTTTCTTAGATCTCAAAATCTCATTAATTGCTTAGTGAGTCAAAAGATACCTTATTCTCCTACACATTTCATAACTTGCACAGGGATACCATCAAGACCAACAATTTTACAATTGTCATCCTCTTAAGCATGTTGTTTACCTCTTCAACTCAAATTCTGCAACAATATTCATATTTCAGAGAAGAAATTGTATCCGACACCCAAATCACATTGAGCACCACTAAGGAAAAAAAACTGAAGTAGAATTTGGTCGCTAGAAGATGAAGGGACAAAATGGGAAAATTACCCCAAGTATGAGTTATTCAGCTTCCTTTTGCAAGTGTTTTTCGTGACAAACCCCACCTCTCACTGATTCTTTTAGTTTGATGTCTTTTTTACAGTATTTTCTTGGTCCTTCCTCTTCCTTTGCGTTCCACCCCCCCCCCTTTCCCACCAATTGTATCATCAATTTTTGTTCTCTTCATCAAGTTTTAAAGTATATTCCACAATGTGATGAAAGATGAAGTGGAAAAGTTTCCTAACCTTGAAATTTGGCCAAGTGGTGGAATTTTTTATTTTTTTTTTGTCATATACAAGCTAATTGCAAAGGAGGAAAAAAGTTGTAAACCTAGAGTAAAGATGGGAGCTTTTGAAATTGAAAGGATTTTAACTTCTAAGATTAATTAAACCAAACATAAGTAATATTTATTTCAAACCTTTCATAGCCCCATATTCTACCAGCATATTTTCAGGTCAACCAAGTATCTAAATGTGGGCATTTAGTCAAGTAAATGAATTGCCACAAGTCATGACTAGAAAATTATTGTTTATGCATATTATGGTAATAGACCAACTTTTAAACATATTAAGTGCATTATTGCCGCCACAAGACAAGATGTGGTAGCGTGTAACAGTAAGTTGTTGTCATTGGCTACAATTAGAGCAGAAAAATTACGATACAGTACAAAATCAGTTAATGTGTTTCCAATGATATGCTTAAAAAGAATAATAATAGACAAAAGTAATTTAGCGTTGAATTTTCTTTAGATATAGATTGACTGACCACAATATTTATTATGCCATATTTTAAGTTATTGCAAACTGTAACAGATTATAATTACCAAGCAAGGAAACTGAGCAGCAGCAGTTTACGGAAAAATTCACCCATTTGTAACCTAATTACATTGGATAAAGTTGACTTCTCATTAACTGCAATCAGTTACACCAGAAATCCAGTAAAAGATCCACACAGAATAATGTGAAAATTGTGTTATGAAGTGTTTGGCATATATTTCCAATTAATGAACAATATTTTTAATTTATTAACAGCCCATCCAATTCAATAATTGGAATTATTTTCACCAAGAATTCCTAAATTATAATTTTCTCAAACAATTAGCAACTTCAATAAACATTGAAATGTTTGCCAATAAAAATGAATAATGAAAATACAGGACTTGAGTAGTAGGTGGGAAACATAAAAACCACATTTATGCTAAGAAACTCATAGAAGAGAACAACAGACAGCAATATATGTAGATAATAGAGGAGCAAGCTAATTTACCTTATGATGGCTAGTTTTACCAATAAAATTTGGCACCTGAAATTTTTGAAGGAACTCGCAGTAAATAATTTATATTCCAAAGCAAAAGTAAGATAACCAAAAAAAATTAGTTGTCAAATTCATTATATGCATGAGCTTGCAAAACCTTTTGTTCGGTTGTCCATATTCTAAGAGAAAATTATTTTCATTATGTTAAAAACAGTTTTCTAATGATAATAACAGAATATTAACATGTATTGGTCATCACACATACTTTCTTTTTGGTTAATCAGTTATGACTTCATAAACTCCCCCCATTATGTGCATTGTTTCAAATCATAACATAGCAGATCCTGAGCATGATAAAATGAAGGTTGTGTAGGGAGTCAACTTCTAACATAAAACATTGTTGAAATTTTATGGCATGGACAAATGTGACTGTTTAATGCTGGATAATTTAGTAATGAAGTTTAAAAAAGGCTAAATGAAAGAAGGAGAAACGTTTTGATGTCCATTTATAGGATTAAGGGTAAACCTCGGCCATACTATGTCTTGAAAAATAGATTAACTGAAATATGATTTTTATTATTTCAATACAAAGAGATGATATAAGATATATACAAGAGACCTAAACTATTTTAGGAAATATAATAACTCTATTTTATGCTAGGATCCCTTGATTTATGGGATTGTTCCTAATTATTCAAATCTGTACAGATTACAAGGAAATATACAAATTTCCTTATTTATTCTTTCCTAAAATACTATTTGATTTCTCACACTCCCCCTCAAGCTGGTGAATAGATGTTTTCCATTCCCAGCTTGGATACAATCTTCTCAAAATTATGGCAGCCCAGTCCCTTGGTAAGAATGTCTGCAATTTGGTCTTGAGAGGACACAGATGGAGTGCATATCAAGCCACTATCAAGCTTTTCTTTGATGAAGTATCTGTCTACTTCAATATGCTTTGTTCTATCATGCTTGCACTCGGGTTGTGGGCTATACCGATTGCTGACTTATTATCACAATAGAGCTTCATAGGTTCTTCCCACTTTATCCTCAAGTCTTCTAAGATGATTTTAAGCCATAGCAACTCACATATACCTTGTGCCATGGCTCGGAATTCGCTTCAGACCTTGGACCGAGCCACTACACACTCGCTTTTGCTTCTCCAAGTCACAAGATTTCCTCCAAGAAAGGTGCAATATCCTGTAGTTGACCTCCTATCCACAATTGACCCTGCATAATCAGCATCAGTATAGGCTTCAAGTTTCACATTACCATTCCTTTTGAATAGAATCCCTTTTCCTGGAGTTCCTTTAAGGTACTGTAAAATTCTGTGGGCAGCTTGTAAATGGGTCTCCTTTGGGCTATGCATAAATTGGCTAATTAAACTCACTGCATAGGCAATATCTGGCCTGGTATGTGACAAATATATAAGTCTGCCCACTAATCTTTGGTACATATCTTTTTCAACGAGCAACATCTTCTTCCGCATTTCCAAGCTTTAGGTTTGGTTCTAATGGGGTTCTAGCAGGTTTGCAAGCTGTCTTGCCAGTTTCCTTGAGCAAATCAGTGATGTATTTCTGCTGAGATATAAATATCCCTTTCTCGGAGTGGGCAACTTCAATTCCCAAAAAATATTTTAGTTTTCCCAAAGTCTTGATCTCAAATTCCTTGCCTAAGCATTGACTCAATAATTTTTGCTCTTCTTTATTATCTCCAGTTAATATTATGTCATCCACATGCACCAATAATATTGTTACTCCCCCTGACTTGGAATGTTTAAAAAACAAAGTATGGTCCCCTTGGCTTTGTTTGTAACCCGGACTTGTCATAACTTTAGTAAACCCGCCAAACCATGCACGGGGACTTGTTTTAACCCATATAATGCCTTTTTCAACTTGCAAACAGTGTTGGTAGCAACATCTTTACCATATCCCGGAGGTATCTCCATATAGATTTCTTCTTCAAGGTCTCCATGTAGGAAAGCATTCTTAACATCAAATTGTTCCAAGTTCCAACCATAATTGGCAGCAAGGGACAATATCACCCTAATCGTGTTCATTTTGGCAACCAGAGCAAAGGTCTCCAAATAATCAACTCCATAGGTTTGGGTGAACCCTTTGGCAACTAGTCTTGCCTTATATCTCTCAATTAATCCATCGACCTTGTATTTCATCGTATAGACCCATTTACATCCAACTCGGCCTCTTTCCTATTGGTAAGGTGACTAACTCCCAAGTGTTGTTTTTCTCCAATGCCTCCATCTCTTCATCCATGGCTTGCCTCCATTTTCTCGTCGGACAATGCCTCGGATAGGGTATTAGGTAGAAGTACAGGTGTTTAGGTTTACTAGGAAGGTTTTATGGGTAGGAGAGAAATTTTTAAAGGACAAGTAATTTGAGAGAGGGTAGAGTGGCTGTTTGGTGCATTTTCTTGTTCCTTTTCTAAAGGCAATTGGGAAGTCGGGATCATTTTGGGTTTCAATTTCAACCTGCACAACTGGAGAAAAAATTGTTACCTCTTTTTGTGGAGTCGAGTTGGATTCTTGAACATGGCTTGATCCTGGAATGGCCTTAGTCTTCCTTGAGTACACCAACTTCTTACCAAATTTTCCAGCTTCAACATCTTCTTGATCGGCTTCACAATTAATTTCACTTTCTTGACCAACTTCCTTTGCTTGACGAATTCCTTGACTTGTTTCATTTGTTACAACTTCAATTTGATCTTCAATTTGATCTTGTTTAGGTTCAAATATCAAGTCCGGAAGAATGGGAAAATCGAATTACTACTTTCAATATGATTTCGTTTAGGTTCAAATGTCAAGTCCGGAAGAATGGGAAAACCAGAATCACTACTTTCCTTATCTTCCCCGAAACTCTCCCCTTGAAGATAAGGTTGATGGAAATAGTCCTCTTGTTCATTGGAGGTAACATCCCTAGACACAAAGAATTTTTTGGATGGGGGTAGTAGCATTTATACCCTTTTTGAGTGGGTGAGTAACCAACAAAGACACACTTTAAGGCTCTAGGATCAAGTTTTCCCCGTCTCGTACTATGAATATGGACATATGAGATGCACCCAAAAACTCTTGGTTTAAGATTATTTGTAGTAGACAAGTTTGGATAGAAAGACGACAAAACTTCCATAGGGCTTTTTGATCCTAAGACTTTAGAGGGTAGTCTATTGATAAGGTATGTTGCTGTAAGGACAGCTTCCCCCCAGAAATTTTTTTGGGACCATATAGAGAGTATTGCATGTAATTGTGTGATCTGTACACATGAGTATTCTCATTTATAATGAAGAAGAAATACAATAATAAGAAAGAATACCTAACAATGGAAAATATTTGGTAATAATTTCCTATCAAATCGTATCATATCTCTTTATTTAATACAATCAAATCATATCTATAACAAGTTTAGACAAATTACCAAAGATTCCCTTGAGTAGTAGTTAATTTGAGGTAAAGCCAATACACTTGTTGCAAACCAATTTGTAACCTTGTCAACAGTAAGCTCATCGTTAAACCTGACATAAGAAAATAATGTAAAGTAATTCCAAGTAGTAGAAATGATTAATGCAAGTAGACTAGACACATGCTATAAGAATGAGTCGTAACCTAAGTTAAATGTGAATTAACCTATTTTAATAAAGTTCAAAAGGATTTACAAAATTTTAACTGTCTGTCCTCAAATCAACCCTGGTTTCATTATAAAACTCACCTACTAATACATTTAGAAGACCGACATCCAGCAGGAACAGCAACAAGGGATGGAATACCTGGATAAATTTTTTTAATAGGTCAAGACGAGATGGAATACAACTGATTAAATAGAAAAGAAAAACAAGAGAAATATCTCTAACACTTATCAATGGCCAAGGATTTATTTTCACTCAAATTTGCAGAAATTACTATGGGAGTGTGCATTGAAAGTATTGCCTGGTAAACCATTCCAAATTTAGAGTATATGTACAGTATTGCTCTATGATGGAAAAAAGAACCGCTTTGTGGACGTGTAGCAGTGTGGCACTAATAGTTTTGAAAAAATTATGGATTTTCTGAAATTTTGATAATTGCTTTTATGGGAGAGAAGGTAGCCAGTAGCCATCAGTTTTAATTCTTCTGGTATTCTCATCACAGTGCCAATATATCTATATATCATTTTATTGAACTTAGTGTGCTTAGTTCCTTTAAATTTGCTCTGATTGAGTACCAAATACTCAAATTTGTGGTATTTTACGCAATATCATATATGTAATCATACGTTTTTCTTCCATTGCTCAAAATATAGGCTAGTCACAGATTTTTGTCAAAAAATTAAACTATTCTTTTAAGTTGATTATAAGGCCACCATCATCTTGCCTTTGTATTCAATCAACATTGAAAGAAACCACCAACAATCACTCTGCTTTATCACAGTTATACATGGATAAATGCAACTCGTCTACTATAAAGAAAAACTCAGGAGTCTCTAACACAAATGTGTGTTGAGTATACAAAAAAAAAAAAAAACTCAGAGATAGCACACCTGCAACAAGTCTGATTTGGGTAAAACAGAACTATCTTTACAATGTATTTACAAATTATAATTCCAAGTTTTGTATAGAATACTCCTTAATTTGGACTGTTCTATAAACATATAACAGAATGGTTAAACAAAATAATTACTTAAAAATGGGAACATTCATTTTATATAGGGATCCTACAAAAAAAGGGCAGAAACAAAAATTTGAATGTATTCAGCACATACCATTTCTAAAAAATGGTTTTCCAGTTGATCTTCGATCAGCAAGGTATATGGCAAGGTCCTTCTCACCAAGTTCCACCACACCGATGTTTGCAACAACATCCAGTAAAGAAGCTAAAAGCAGGTTTCATCAGAATAAATTTGTCATTAAACTGGTGACCAAAATAACAAAGTGCTTGCATATCAATTAGATTAAATCCATGTAAAATATAAAGAATAGCACTATAAATTTATCACTGTTTATGAAAGGAAACACTGTCAAAAAAGAGAAGATTGGCACCTAGCCTTTTATTTCATCCATAGGAAACTTCCAAGAGAAAGAGAGAGAGAGAAACACAGATAACGGGAAGATACACCTGAAACTACAAATTTTATCTCCTTATTATGAAACAAGCTTGCATATTTCTCATGTAACTTTAATCTATTGTGACAAGGAAATATCTCTCCCTTTTTCCAGCAATATCATTTAAAAACCTAAAGACTAAGTGACTAACTCATGAAAATTAAATGCTATCAAGCAGAAAAGGATAACATTTCCACAGCAATATATCACGTGCATAAAGAAACAAATTTATGCCAGGAGTTAAGTTTAAATATCATACCAATTTTAATCCAGGAATTGGAAAATTGAGCACAACGTTCACTCCCTGATGAATACAACTGATACAAATACATTCAGCATCTAGTTCAAGATAATTTTTTAAAAGAACCAAATATAGAAATATTAAGGAAGTAGGCAAGAATGGTGATATAGACTCTTTACAAGAAAGATAATCAAATCTATCTTTCTATTATAACCTGGTTTTTAGGGGAAAAATAAAATCTACCTTTCAAGAGATATCATGTTACAAAAAAGTGAAGAAAACTGATGAATATCTTTCTAATTTACAATATGTGATCAAATAAGACTTAGTTTTAAAGTCCTCGAATGAAATGACCAAAAAGTAAATCATTTACCAACATATAGTTATAGTCTCACATATACTGCCAAATTTATTTTGGTGAAATAATGTTCCAATATTATCTAAATAAAATGTATTATGGTCAAAGTTCACTATTATTGAATGCGACAAGAGCCTTATCCCACTAGGTGAGGTCAACACCATTTGGCTCAATTAAAGATCAAATCTTCAACGATATTATTTACCATGAGATCCCTCTTAACAACATCCCTCAGTGACCTGTTAGGTCTCCTTTTCATAGGACTAATAGGCATGCAATCTACTCTCCCCACGGGTATGCCCCTAAGCTGGACTAAATCAGATGGGTTAAGGCCCAAATGCATGTAGTGAATACATTGCTAGTATATTACTAATAGGAAGTTAAATTATCTCACGAACACCATTGGTCGAAACTCAAGGTTGATTCAAAGGTTTTGTCACGACTTCTCCTGACATTACTTAACACCCCTGACCATTCTCCTTTCCCATAGAATATTTCTAATAATTCTTTGTATTTTTCTATTATTAGTTTAATAATTTGCTATTGTAAGTTTGTTAGAGTTTGTTATTGACTCTTATCTTTCTTTTTCCATATAAAATGATGTACACATTCCATTATGATTAATGAGAATCATTCTCTTTTGTATCTTTCTCTTTGATTCTCTTCCAGCTTCATGCTCTCCCTTTCCTCTCTTTCACCTCTATTCATGTGAGGATCTTCTATCATGAAGCTATTCCTATATTCTTCTCTAATCATTTTTTTCTCATAGGTTTCTAGAGAAGAACTTTGAGGAGACCTTTGGGCTGGTGAGTCTAAAATTGGCTACTAGAGCATTGCGTGAAGTTGTTGGTCAAGAGTGGATGGAAGAACATAGAAGTTGCAGTGATGACCAAGGAGTATGGTCAGCGTCAACTAGAGGAATCTAAAACTAACACCATAGTTGCTAAGATACCGCTTCTGAGGCTCTACTAAGAAAGCCCTTCCCAAGGAGACATGATTTTCTGTTTAGCATATTACATGAGCAGTGTTCTTCTAGGTTGGGGTTATACTCACTTAAGGTAAAATTGATGCCATTGTGTCTAAAGATTGAAGCAAAGAAAACAGTTGTTGAGGTTGCAAAATACCCCTTCTAAGGAGACATGATTTATGTTACTTTTGTTTAACTCATGAAATGTTCTTGCTAAAAACACGATTTTGTAAAGTTGAGCTACACCTAAAATTATATTCTAATGATTATAATCAGATTTTATTCTATCCTTATTAACTTTCCTGGTTATCGTATGTAAGGATAATTGATTTGATCTAAAACTTTACGATTAATTAGTGAAATAGTCAGATTCAAGTGTAGAAACCAATAATCAAGACATCAAGAAAAATAAAATGCAAAGTACAAAATTTAATAGTCAATACAGTTTCACAAACTTAGATTTTCATTCAAGTAAATATAATTTAAATGAAAATAGTTGTAACTTCATTCAGTAGTTATGGAGGTCATTAGTAGTAAAGTACAGTTAGTTTAGTTATATAAAACAAAAACATGACTATAGATTGTGATTACATTTGTTATAATATACCAGCATATGTACCTGAATTAGCCATGGCTTTGCATCTGGAAATATATACTGGAAGTCACTGGCTGTAATGACTTTAGAAGAATGATCTACAGATCCTGAGACGTAAAAATATGCATCCATACAAAAAAGGATTTGCATGTCACACATCCATTATTTCAAGAAAAAAATCCTATTACATATAATGAACCTTTCGACTAACCAGTTCGGGCCTGTAGTAAAGGGAAGTTCAATTCTGAAATATGTTTCCCTGCATAACGCTTGCTGGCACTCTCAACAATATGCTATCAATGTAAAATTATATCAATTAAAGCATTTGGAGATGATAGTAACCACTGATGATACAAACACTTAAAAACAGATCTTACAAACTGACACAAGTTTTAAAGGATGCAAAAGAGGGTACTCACAAGTTGTTCATCAATTCCCAATATGTCATAGTCCCTTTTCCATAAAGGATTTGTCAGCAACTCATAAGCATATCGAATCTGTAAAGCATGCCCTCAAAGTAAATTATATAAATAAAACCATAGTAAATCCACAATACTAGTCCTAGTGGACAGCAATCAAAAAACGATCATGTGTAATACATGAAACCATATTAAAGTACCAAGGTATATATGGTAGGAAAAAGAAATAGAAATTCATAAATAAGAGCACTATAGTCCCATTTAATGAATCGAACCCACCTCTTTACAACATTATAACAGCTTCCACAATATTAGTCCTAGTGGACAGCAATCAAAAAAAAGATCATGTGTAATACATGAAACCACATTAAAGTACCAAGGTATATGGTAGGAAAAAGAAATAGAAATTCTTAAATAAGAGCACTATAGTCCCATTTAATGAATTGAACCCACCTCTTTACAACACAATAAACTTAAAAGTTAAAAGTAGATTTGGCCAAAGTTTAAACCAAGTGCAATGATCCTTAGCACGGTTTTTAAGTCACATGATAACTATTTAAGTACTTGAAAAATCCACCCTCAAACACTAGCTATTAAGGGGGAAGAACCAAACAATTAAATATTCCACCAAACATCCTCCCATATTACTTGATGTGGGACTTAAGCACCCCATAATCCTGACGGCGCTATCACCTCATTTAGTAGATCCCTCCTTCACATCATCACATAGTTTGTTCCTCTTTGACGATCTCGGTAACATTTATCAGAAACAATCTAAACATAAATTATGGATTGATGACCTTTGTTCTTGGAAGGATTTTGTGCAGCGTACAGTAAATTGATGGATAGACAAGATAGTTGATAAATGACCTCTCAACTAACCTTTAAAACCTCATGAATATCAAAATCTTCCTCGGAAGAATTCCTGAAAGACAATTTAACTAATGTCATAAAATTATTAATAGCAGACAGATGACATATCAAACAGAATGCTCCACAATAGTTTTAGCACACTCAGAACAAACTAATACCAGAAAACCTGTTCAACAGACTACGTGAGAAACAAAATATTTTGCTAAAAGAATATTAACTACCCTATTACATAGTATAGACTCTCCGATTTGAAAGAAAAAAAAAAACAATATACATATATATATATATAACGCATAAAAAAGAATCTATCACACCCATCTAAAGTGCCTTATTAAAAAAAACAATAGAAAAATGTAAAAAATAAAATAACCAAGCTACAGTGCCCAAGCTAAGTAGAGTGACCACTGAGAACTAACCTAGCCACTACTCATGTCCCACAGCCCAAACATTTAACTACAATCATTTGCACCATACACATTTTTTTAAGACTAAATGTTCCAAATCATTCAGGCAGTGAATACGAATTCCCTTTATGCATTTGCCGGACATCCACCGTTCTTACACGTAAATCAGAGTTTCAAATTGTGGATGGGAATGGCAAACTCTGTACTCACAACGCAATTTCAATCCATGCACATAACAAATGTTCAATTTTGTTTAGATTACCTGATATTGAGAAAATAACCACTTTTTTTAGCTTCTTGAAATGCCTTTTGCAAAAAATAAAAAACTGATGACGCGTGTAAAATTTAGTGTACCTTCACATCTACCACTGTCAAATGCAAAACTACAATAGAATCACTCCAACCTAAAATTTAAAGAGACATGACTAAATTACCATTTAGATTCATGCTTGTCGTAAGCCTCCTTCACTTTGTCAACCGAACTATAGCTCTCAATTTGCAAAACTGCAATCACCAAACAAACAGGAGAAAGTAAAAAATCAATTCAGAAATATATAAATAGATAGATAGATAGATAGATAGATAGATAAAGAAGGAATTACCGTCGTAATGAGAAGGAGGGAAGGCATTGGGAATAATGAAGAGCTGATAGAACATGGCTCCAGCGAAGAGAAGAAAAGGGAGCGCGTAGGCTTTGACGGTGGAAGCCATAGAGTGTAAGCGTGAGGGAGAAGGATTCGCAGAAACCCTAGACATGGTAACAGAATCAGGAGCGGTGATTGTGATTGTGTTTGCAGTGATTGGAATTTGTAAACTGAGTAGGAAGGGATTCGCTACGTTGGTGGTGTCTGTGTTCGTTTTCAGTGTGTAGTACGAACACAACAAACCTCTTCCGATTGTGTTTAAGGTTTGTAGTAGTAGTCTTCTTCTTGCGTCTTGGCCACGTCTTCTCCTTCCCTTTTCATCGATTTTTCTATTGCATTTGAAAGTTTGAACTTTCAAAATTTGAAGAAAATAAACCTAGTACAGTGGTCATATAAGCCCTACAACACACCTCGTCACACTCACTGGACATGCTTATATGGCATATTTTATTATTTATTTAGATGTTTTTATATATTTTTAAAAGAAGACCAAATTTTAAGTACAGTATAGACAATTTTTTGCGGCTCAACGTCAACCAGGGAATCAAAATGAGCCAACCCGACTCATGGTTCATACATGGAGGTGAAAATAGATGAGTTCATCCATAGATAAGCTCAACCCGATTTACTTTTTAGTAAGTCAGAAATTTTATAGTCCAACTCAATTTATTATGGGTTTGTAGATTAGGTGGATTGACTCACTAATTCATGTTTTTTTAATTTTTTAAATTATATAGAAACTTCGAGATATAGAAACTTATGTTTTCTTCCTTTCTTTCTCAACATCGATATCTTCGTTATTAACTGAAATTGGCTCATTGGGTTTTTCATTAATAATAAAATCATCACCAATACAATTTATACTCGACACTTTGATTTATTGTTTCATATTCTATACTCGTAAATTAAATTAAATTAAAAGAAAGAAGTCAAAAATTTATATATTAAAGAGATATACGTATAAATCAATAACAAACAACAAATAATGTATAAATGCTACAATTTTCAAATAAAGATTCATCAATCCAATAGTTTAGGTTATTAAACAAATTCTTACCTTTGAAAGCAATACAGTGGACATGGTATAATGGTGCGGTGGACAGATAATAAGACAAGTGACGTGCAGCGACAAACGTAGTGGTGCAACGAATAACTGATAACAAGTTTAAGTGAGGGTTTGGCTTGTAGCTGACAGCCAACAATCTAAAGTAGAGGTAAGACAGGATAACATCAATTAGGGTTACTAAAGTATTATAAATATTTTTAAAATTTAAAATAAATTATTAATTAGGGTTAGTATATTATTATAATTATTTTTAAAATTTAAAATTAATGGTGGGTTGCGAGCCAACCCACCATAACCCGGCTCGAACCCGTTTAACCCGTGGGTTAAGTAAGCCGATTCATTTTTAACTCATAATCAGTAGAAATAAAAAAAAATTAAACCCAACCCGACTGAACCTGTGGTGAGCCGGGTTAGCTCACATGTTAGAACCCATATTTACACCCCTAATGTCAACTAAGTAGTTAGACACTTGTCCAACTTTTCATATATCAATTTCGGTATTCTTTCAACAATAGAAAAATTCCTTCTTCTTTTTTTAAGTTTAAAACATCTAATAGAATACAAGCATATGTTAGTCAGATGTATTTGTTTTTTTTTTATGTTTAATTATGTTTTTAGTGTTTGAAATTTTAAGATAAATAATTTTTAGTTTCTTAAATAAAAATTTATTTGAATCCTTAAAAAATAGTAAAATATGATTTTTAATTCTTAAAAACTAAATTTGAATGACTAAAATTATTTTTAATCCTTCAAACTTAATGTTTAGAAATTAAAATAATATTTTTGTAATTTTATAAGATTCATAAATATTTTTTTGAATATGAGATACTAATATCAAAATCATTCTAAATTTTGAGAAAGGAAAACATAATTAAATCTTATTTTTATTTTAATAATCCTATTGAATAAGAGTGAATTTGGCAAGGTTTTAGCTCTTCTCTATAATACAAAATTGTTACACAAGTTTGGGTTTCACTTTGTTAAAATGTCCATTATCAAAATGCTACTAAAATTGAAAGTTTAATAAAGAAATTTTGTCCATTATCTCAAATTTTAAGTCATCTCAACATAGATTTGAACATATATATATATATATATATATATATATATATATATATATATATATATAAATGATATTTTTTGCTATTGATTAATTTATGATTAGGTTATTTATTAACAATTTATTTATGTTTTTAGAAAAAAGCGACTAAGGTATTAAGGTAAGAGGTGGTTCATCTCACATAGAATCAACCCTAAAGAAGGCAATCTAAATTGTTAAGACGTGTAGAAGAGAAAGGTCAATTAATCATTAGTGCATCTGCAAAAATTTTAAAAGAGGGTATTTCAATCTTAAAAATGATGAAACAAGTTCTCATCTTATCCCCTCATGATTAAACAACTCTTATTTGATTTTATTTTAATGGTAAAAATTTTAAGTAATTCTTAACAATTCAAAAAATATATTATTTTAATATTTTCTATAAAAATAAATATATACATTAAATAATTAATTACTTTAATTAATAGTACACTACCTTATTTTAATGTAAATATACATGATATTTAAATAAATATAATAAAAATCAAATAATAGTAAAAAATATAATACATAAAATTAAATTTCATTATTTTCTTCTCTAAATTTTTGTCAAATATGTTCTACCAAATCTGCTTGAAGTTAGTAGTGAGTATTTTTATCTTGAACCGCTGCTCTCCTTTGAATGTATTTAGATCTAAAACAATGATAAGGACTTGAAGATATATCAATAGTTGACATCTCATTTTCCCTAGTATCATAATCAATATGATTTTGATAAGTGTGTCGTTTGTCCTCAATAATCATATTGTGTAATATGATACATGCATAAATTATGTTCTTCAATATATGAGCATCCTAATAACGTGTCGGACCACGTATAATTGTAAATCGAGATTGAAGGACTCCAAATGCAGGTTCAACATCTTTTCTTATTGACTCTTGTCGTTGAGCAAATAATTTTCTTTTCTGCCTTATGGCATTGAAATAGTTTTCACAAATGTGGCAAAATCTAGATAAATATCATCTACTAAGTAATATCTCATATCATATTGGGTTTCATTCACAGTGTAGTGTACCGCAGGTGCAAAACCTGACATAACTTCATTAAACACATTAGATGCATTTAACACAGTAATATCATTATTTGACTCTACATTACCAAAAACTGCATGTTAAATCCACAAGTCTTGTGATGCTACAGCTTCGAGAATGATTGTTGGGTTAGTATGATTACCTCGATAAAATTGACATTTTCATGCAACTGGATAAGTTTTTCATTCTCAATGCATGCAATCAATTGATCCTAACATACCTGGAAAGTCACGTCTGACTCTCATTTGTAATATTCGATCAATGTTTTCGTTGTTAGGCTTCCTTAAATACTCATTTCCAAATACTGCACAAATGCCCGATACAAATCATTGTAAGCATTCTCCTGCAATACTTTCACCAATGTGAATACATTCATCTACACTATCAGCAAGTGAGTCATAAGCCAATATGCGAATAGCAGCAATGCACTTTTACAAAGGTGATAAAACTTTTCTTCGTGTTGCATCTAACTTTAGTGTAAAGTAATCATCATAATTGTCAAGGGCTTCCATAATTTTGACTAAAACCTCCCTTCGCATACGGAACCTTCTTCGAAATTGAGATTCCATATATACTGAATTTTCAGCAAAATAGTCATTGAACAATTGATGATGGTCTTCTTCATGATTTTGATGAATTACCTTTCTTCTTTGTATGTCACCACCATTGTTATCGACTTATTGGTGGTACTCAAGTAGTAATCTCATGATTTCTTCATCATGGTTATCTTCGAGTTCTTCATCTACGACTTGATCCAATAATGCATCTAAATCAATATTTTCAAATTGAGAATAATATTATAAGATGTGAGACATTACATGACATTCCAAAACTATATATAGATTCATAACGGCTAATTTTACAACTGCTAGTTTTTATAACGGCTAATTTTACAACGGCTAATTTTACAACAGCTAGTTTTTACAACGACTAGTTTTACAATGGCTAGTTTTCATTTGTGCATGACTAATACATTTTTCAAACAAATACAATTAATAATCATAATGACTAATATATTTAAAATCTTTGTTTTTGTCTAATATAGTTACAATATTCTTCATGATCTTCATGTTACTTCTCAAACATGTTAGTTGTGTCTTTCATGAGAATTTCATACTTCAAACGCATTTCTTGTGACTTCTTTAACTCAATCAATTCATCAAACTTTATATTTTTTTTCCTTTATTGCATTTTCTATGCTAGATAAATCAATATGAGGAGTAACACTTGCACTAGCTTTTCTTTTTCCCTTTCTCTTGACTGCCTTTTGTCCTATAGGACAAGATATTGGTGATGTTGTGTCAAATTCTTTAACTTCATGCGGTGTCTCTGGGTTAGATGACGATGAGTATGCACCTAAAGTAGAAATTTTGAATCTTTTTGAAGAAACATCCATAAATATTGATTGTCATTTGGTTCATCTCTTAACAACAACCAAGCATGTTCAAATTCAATTTTTTCCCTTTCGAATCTTCTATAAAAATCTTATATGTGAATGACATAACATATTTCTCAGTCCAACCAATTTTTCTTTGATTGGTAGTTTGTTTATAACATGCATTAAATTTTTGAACTACAGGGTGAAGTTTACTCCATCGAGATTTTAATTAACTCACTGACCTATTTGTGAAAATGCTATGTTCATCGTCATTGTTGTAAGCTTCTTTGATCAGCTTCCAATATTGGATTAATGACTTATCAACTCCAACAATTGGATCCTTCGACACATTCAACCATGATCACATAATAATCAAATCTTATGGTATTGAGAATGGTACATGAGGTTTCTTTTGAGACATATTTTCACCGTTTCCATCAAGTTGGATATTATCGAGTTCAATCAGGGAAGGAGGTCCTATGTTGGATGAAGGAGAAATATTACTCATATTTGATGTTATTAGAGGTGGTGGAAACA